TGAAATAAGAAGTGGCTGGGAAAGCAGCCAGCAGAGACCTGAGAAATGTGGCCTCCGCAGTGGAGAATCCACGGGGGAAGGAGTGTCATGGTGGAGGGGATGGGTTCCCTGCCTGGTCTCCACCCTGTTCAGAGAACCCTGGAGAGTGAGGTCAGACTCTTCCCAGATCTCGAAGAGCAAGGTGAGACCGCAGAGTCTCTGATGCCATGCAACCCATCAGATAGTTCTAAACATCAAAAAATTGGAGGAATTGCAGTTTTCTGCTTCCTAGACACAGCGTCCTTGTCAATTCCCTTCCAGCTTTCAGAAACATACCAGGTAACAGACCCGGGGGGGAACAGCCCCACTGTTAGCTGTGCAGAAACGCGCCCAGAATCGCATGCACGCCCGCGCACATGCACACGCACAAACACGTGCACGCGCACACATGTGCATGCACACGTGGAGGGCGCAGGCGCGCAAGCCGCCTTTCCCTCCTCCCAAATTTATCTCCCGTCCCAAAACAGTGTTCCTTAATGATTCAGATACATGAAAAAGGTATCATTGATTCTGCAGACGGAGGGATCTACTTGATTAGTAAGTATTGGATGGGGGGATGCTCCATCTCAGCAGAAACTGGGAAAATGCCAAAAAAAAAAAAGAGTAACCAAATTACACCCATCTGCCTGAAACAGTGAGAAAGTCAGGTGGTACTAAGGATCCTCCATCTGTGAGGGGGGACCCTCAGGCACTACCAGCAGGAGGGCGAACTGGTACAAACTCAAGAAAATCAAGTATGAGTGGCTCTGGGATCCAAAATTCCCACTTATAGATGTATACCCCAGACACTCACACAGGCCCTCAGGAAGACAGCGCCAAAGACACAGCCAGGGCTTGACTATACAAACAGGGAGAGCAGTAGTGTCCACTGTCAAGAAATTCAGATCATGTAAAAACATCATCTGAAAAATAATAATCACCCTCACCCACAAACGTGCACACAGGCATGGATTTCTTTGCATATTTGTTATATGTGTAATTTGTTATTTAAATGAAATCATACTATGCATGCTGTTGTGTAACCCGTTCCACTCAATAATGTACAATATTAGATCAATGTAGTCATTGATCTAATTTTTTTTTTTTTTAAGCAGACTCCATGCTGAGCATGGAGCCCAGTGCAGGGCTTGAATTCCCAACCCTGAGATCAAGACCTGAGCTGAGATCAAGAGGCAGACATCCAATGGACTGAGCCACCCAGGCACCCCCAGCGTCATCATTTTAACAGTTAAACAGTATTCCATACTTCCCATAAATTATTAACCAAGACCCAATTGTTAGATACATAGGTTATTTAAATATTTTCACTACCAAACAGAACTGCTCTGAACTTTGCTGCCCATGCACCTTTGCTTCCTCTTCTAATTAATAAAACTGGAAGAAGGAAGATGTATCACAGTGAAAAATGTGTGTACCTTGGGGATGGAATTGCTTCATTAAAGGTATACATATTTTTCACGACTGTATATATTCTGTATTTTTAGTTTTCAATTAGCAATAATCACCCCTTGGATAACCCTCATTGGCTACGATGCTGCCACTGCACAAAGTTTCCGTGTTTTTAGTTTTAACAGTTCCCTTGGATCCACACCTTTTCTGTTGTCTGGCGAGGTGGCTCTAGGGGAAATAGACAATTGGGCTAGAGTTGCTGCTTTATAAGCAGTAACCTGACTAAGCTCTTTCTCCCTGATCTGTGTTGCTAAGGGTCACCACAGAGGGTCACCATCCAAATGAATTCCTACTTCGCAGGCTTCCGGCAACAGCCGTGCATCGAGTCACAGAGGGCTTTTTGAGGAGTATCAGTAGCATAAAATACTTAGGCATTCCATACTCCTTTGCTAAAAAAATATCTTCAATAGATGCCAGCATGGGCTTGGAGGCTACCCGGTGCTAGAGAGACACACATGACCAAGATCCAGCTCTGCTCTTGGGAGCCCCCCAGGCTGGAAAGCAGAGGGACATGTTCAGTGACTGTCTCCCGTCTCAAGCCCATGCAGGAACCTGAAAGCCCCAGCATGCTCTGGGAGCCCTGGAGGGCCCCGGCTGGGGAGGCTTCTCAGAGGGAGCAGAGGAGAGCAAAGAGCAAGGAGGCAGCCGTGGAGTCAGGATGGCAGAGGGGACTCTCCAGGCAGAGGGTCAGAGTGGGACAGAGCATGCAGGTTCCCCAGGACCTGGAGAACCCCCGGAAGCCCAGCGAGGAGGGAGCAATAGGCAGAAGCTGACACAGGGGTTCAAGAGGGAGGCGGGGCCCCTGTACGAAGAGCCAGCATCATCCGCACACTGACGAGCTTGTGCGTGGGGACACAGGTGGGCAGAGGAAGGACAAGACCAGAGAGGGAGGATGGACAGGGGCAGGGACGAGACTGGCAGCAGGAACAGCAGCGGACATGAAGGGCATTGCTAAGACTTCGTAGGGAGTCAGCCGAGCAGAAGTTCTGGCACGTGAGGGGGCTCCCATGGGGGAGGGACGTGGGCACAGGCGGAACAGCCTCAGCATCACTGGCAGGGTGGAATGGCCAGGACTCAGTGACTACACAGAAGTGGGACACCCAGCCAGAGCAGCAGGTGGTTGGGAGGCCTGATGGGCTGAGTCTGCTGAGGACTGTGGAGGGGGGAAAGGCCACGGTACAGACCACCAGCAAGATGGGCCACCTGCCCTGCCTCAGCCACGGATTTACAGCATGTTCGGGAATCTGGTGGATAACTCATTCTGCTCCCTGGAATGTAACTTTCTCCTCTGCAAAGGAGCCCATGGGGACTGCGTACCATCAAGCCCTTCCCAGCTGTCAAATGCTGTAAGTTCCCGTCTGCCTCAGAGACCAGGGTGACAGCGGCCCACCTGCAAACTCACCCCAGCGAGAACACCGGCCCTGGAAGAAGCAGCAGATCACACACATGACCAGCTTCTATGAAACCAGAACCTTCTTCCGACACTGCGCAAACCCTCCAATGAGGTCTGAGTATCCGCTCTCCTCCCGCCCCAACACGCAGCTCACATCTGGCCCCATGCTGCTTACTTTTCTTCCCCACCCCTGGGTAATAAGGAGCAGACCAGCAAAATAGTTCAAATGCCTTCTTAAAAAGTACACTGCCTTGTAGGCTTAGAGGCCTATTTTGAGCAAAATGTTTCAAACCTCCATGCTCAGAGCTGCTCTAGACATCAAGCCTCACTCCAGCTGAACAATCGGGAGGTCAGTAAAGGACTAAGGTACCTCCACTGAATGCCAGGCCGGCGGGGGACACTGAGACCCTAGGAGGGACTGAACATCCCTGCTGTCAGGCCTGTGCACTGAGTATAGGAGCTTGGCACTAAACCCAGCTACCCAGCATGGCATGAGAAGGGTTGTACAGAAGATGCACAAGGTTAGGGCTGCGGTGGGCCAGAAAAGGAAGTGAGGGCCTCGCTCGGATGTCCAGAAAACCACACAGAGGAGGGAGCCTGGGAGCTGGGCCTTGGGGCCGTCATGGCAGGTGTGCAGCAGAAACTGGCCCAGGGCTGGGAAAGCACAGACCAACACCATGGAGCATAAGAAAACAAGCAAGTGACAGAGAGGAGGCTCAGGAGGGCTGGCTGATGGCCACCAAATGGGCTGGGGCCAGATTGTAAGAGCCTTGAATGCCACACCCAGTAAGAGCTACACAGGGAACCACTGAAATTTGGAAGCAGAGGAGTGAGGGCAGTGGAAAGAATGGGGGGTGGGCAGGAAGTCAATGCCCCAGTACATCAAGGGCATCAGCATGGTGAAGAACAACGTGGGCTGTGCCAGGGCAGAGGATGGGGGAGGTGGATGTGAAAACACGCCCCCCCTTCTCCATTTTCTCAAGATCTCTGGCATTTAATCCTACAGACCCCACAAGGAAACACCTTGACTCAGAGTCACACCGCAACAGCAAACCTCAACAGATAACTCCCGACCCTGCCTTTCCAGGTCTGGTTTCCGCTCCTGTGCTGAAAATGCTCCCCCGGGGAGAGCCAGACCCTGGCCGCAAACCTCCAACAGCTGATCAAACAGTAAAGCACACTGTGTACACTTGGAACAGGCCGGTGGGCAGTGAATAACGGACACACTCACTCAGATTTCCCAGCGGCCCGCCTGAGCAACAGGACACATTTATTTGGTTCATTTCCTGCAAAAACGGGATTTTCCAGGCATTTGGGGGAAATGACCTCCTTGCATTCCAGGTAGCTTTTTTCATCTCTACTCCAGGGACCCACGACCCCCTTCCTCATTTCCCAGACACTTTCTCCCTGAACTTGAGCAGCCGACAAAAGCCTCTTCAGGACCCCTCATGGCCCTGTGCGTCTTCACTGGGGCAAGCTCTGTTGGCAGGAGCATAGGAGAGACATTTACATGCCCCATCAGAAAGTCCCTGAGACCACCAAGGTCGCCATGCACCCTAGAGTCCAGCTCCAATCCCCGGTGCAAAGCACACCTCCAGCACATGTCCTGGGCACATCCCTGAGCCCTAGACACTGCTTTTTTGGGTAGCACAATGAAGGAAAAGGGAAAAGGCAGGTGGGACATTAAGGAGCCTGGGAAGCAAAGGAGGGAAGGACAAAGGTGGGTAAGGTTAAAGGCAGACGGGACCTGGGTTCAATTCTACCGCCACCACTGAGTCTACTTGGATAAACCACCCTGCCTCTCTGGAGACTTTTCCCCCATCTGTGAAATGGGTACAAAAATAAATTCCGTGTAAAAAACAAATGCGAAATTATCAGAATCCTTAGCGCTCCTGTTAGCGTTAAACATTCGCAGAGTTCAAAGGCAGCCAGTATCCGTGACAGCTGCCGCTGAAGGAGGCGAACATTTCTGAACCGTGTCCGGGGAGAAACCGGACAGAGCGCGCTCCTGCAGGACAGGGCCCGGAGCATCCGTGCGCGCAGGTGTGGCGGGCGCGGCGACAGCAGGCTGGCGGGGCAGGTCGGCCCGCGGGGGAAGGACGGGGGCGGCCAGACCCACCTGAAGACGCGCAGCAGCAGGCAGGCGATGAGCAGCGCGGTGAAGGCGCACGCCACTATCACGGCCGCCTTCAGGGTGGGCAGGTCGCGGAGCAGGCTGGAGATGCGGGTCACCAGGGCGTCGCCGCTGCTGTTGGAGCCGCCGCCGCCGCCGCCCGCCGGCGCCCCGGACCCCGTCCGGGTGGCGTTCCCGGGCCCGGGGCCGGGCGACGGCCGCGGTCGGCGCTCGGGCTCGGGCGGCAGCGCCAAGGCGGACTTGGCTCTG